TTAATTTCCTCTCCCATTTTATGGTGGGAATAGGTGTAATAATAATAATGTTTTTTAAATTAATTTTAGTGGAGTCTACATGGATGGAGGCTTAAAAAATAGTCCAATCTACAAAAGAGGGCACAGCAGATTTAATAACCCAGTGCCATCACCTACTCCAACACATGTTCACCAGAGACTTAGATTTGACTTAGATTCAAAAACTCTCACAGAGAATGGATGTAAATGTAATGACAAAAAAGAAATATATATATATATATATATATATCTGTCATAAATATTTGAAGTCTTTGTGGAAGGAAAGAGGAAATCTGTCATTTTAAATTTTTACACTCTTGTCAGCGATAAAACAGACTCGGGGAAAGTTTCAGAAAACAACAGACCATTTGTGTAATGTGTAAAATCTGCAAAGTTTTTTTTTTATATTTAGCTTTAATGTACGTCGGAAGATGCTCATCCTATTTTGTGACCTTTTTTATTTGTCGTAACCTTTCCTTTCCGCCTTGTGTTGTAGGTGAAACTTTGTTGGGGGAGAGTTTTTAAAACTCCAGAGAACAACTTGGCCCAAAACTGTTTAACGGAGCTGTTCTGACATTGTTGCAAACAGCTGGGTGAATAATCCAGGACAGCAGGGAGCTGATGTCCCCAAGTACAATATTATCAATCAACGCTGGAGCTTTTCTTGGTTGTTGAAAAAAAAAAAGAAAACTCAAATATAACACTATTATTGCTGCATAACATACGTTATTATTGGATTGTTAAAAATACATTTTAACATTTTATGCATTTACTGTGTTCAATTATTAACAGCTTCTGCAACAACTTGCGATGTACGAGTTTCACGTTTGGAGGAAATTCCTTCTGCAACAACTTTAAGAGCTGTACGAGTTTCACGTTTGGAGGAAATTTGTTTTCCTCACGAATAAACTGGAATAAACTGGGGCAAAGGACCTGCTGTGTTTGAATAAAATCTCAACCTTTATGGAAAAAAAAGTCATTTTGGACAGTCTAGGGGTTTGAAAAAAAAAAACAGTAAGTCAAGCGTGAGAGGGAGAAAATGACTTGGCTGGACGTCTCTTACCTCCCAGGGTGGCTGAGATGAGAATGTGAGTTCCATATTTCTTAATGATGGTCTCAATGAACTGTTGAGTAGTAGGTCTGCGGCCCAGCAAGCGTACGCTGCGCTGGAACTCGGGCATGAGAGGCACAGGGTTCCGGATCAAATCCCGTCTCTCGATCGCTGTGTTCCTCACCTTCCAACGTGCAAATTCCCTGAAATTGTCAAAAAAAAGAGACAAAAAAACAGATTAAATCCCAGAGTTCTAGACAGGTGGACGGCATCGTGACAGCAAAATGACAACAATGATACCAAGTGTCTCCTCACTGAAGTCAGAGCTGCACAGAAACATTGTCAAAAAGTTCATTTGAAAAAAAATTGATTTTTATTTCAACTTCTATTTTTTAAAGCAGACATGTATTGAACTTCCAAGTATTTTACTCCAGGTATAGCATCGTATATGAGCGATCACGACAGTAGACTAACTGTGGGACCTTGGGTGTAACAGACACTCCCTCAGGGCAGGAATCGACTAAAGAGTTCTGCAACTGAGCCGGAAAAACCCGGACTCCCAAATAAATCATGTTTTTTTGTTTTGCTTTCTTTGGCCAATTTTCTTTCAGATTCTTTTTCACTATGAAACCAAACCAACAGGCATCCTCCCAGGTTCAGGTTCCGAGCACGGTCTATCATTAATATATAGAGTCATGCACCTTATTTCCACAGGTTCACATTTTAAAAAAGAAAAGAAAAAGAAAAACAAGTATTTCCTGCTTTGTTATATTCTTTATGACACCAGGTTGTAATTATATACATATATATGCTATAATATTTTTTTCTTTTTACTAAGGCTTAAAATGTGTGATCTGGTTAATCAGCTGTGAATTAATCCTGATTAATCGTAATTAATCATTTTTGTAATTGTAATTGTAATCATGATGATTGGCATTAAATAGCATTCAGAAATGTTATGAATTACATTTTTGTATCTGTATGTGCGTTAACTTATATTATTATTGTTATAATAATTATTATATTGTTATATAATATGTATGTAGGTGTCTAATGTTGATAAAAATGTTTAACACAGGATGAGGTTCGATCCCAAAGTAATCTTTCCTTCCCACTCCATTTTCCCTCTGTAGGTTTGAGCCCTCAGTTGATGGTTTCCCTCTGTTACTTATTATAAATTCCCTGACACCGAGTCAGCAATGTGTCTTTCTGACTTAGCACAGCTTGACGGCGGCATAATGCCGCTCAGCACTATACATTAGCCTCGAACTCCTGTAGGATGATATGAAACAGTTCAGGTTGATAACGCAGCCTGAGATCACGCGGCTCATCTCAAGCAGAGGAAAAAAAAAAGAATATTGAAATGAATGAATGACAGCTTTTAATTTCACAAACTGGAGAAGGAAAAATCTGCAGGTTGACTTTTCTATCTCTCTCATCACAAACCACTGACTAATGCTTTTCCGAGGCAACGAATGCATTTGTGATAGATTTGCAAAATTCTTTTTTTTTATTTTTTTGTAGGAACTTTGCAATTCCTCAGCGTTGCACAGACAATTTCTCATCTGGCGGGACGTGACTCCCGTCTCATGCAGAAACAGTACATGCTGATTCAGCTTCCACTTCATTCCACAAAAGGAACACACTGCTGTTCCCTCTAAACTCTGGTACAAAAAAAAAAAAAACTCAGGCAAAAATCATACAAAGACAATTTACTTTTGGATTAGGAACAGATAATGACTCGTAGCCATTTGTCTCAGATTTGTCTCCTCTCTGTCGCCTCCTCTGTTTATCTGTCATCACTGCAGCTTTCTCAGCAGCCTTGTCAACAGTAGTTATCATGTAAGACTTGGTCCAGCAGCCATGAACGGTCAGAACATTCTGATCCAGTCTGAGGACCACAGCATGATCCAATGGTTCAGTCCACTGATCCAGGACCAGGTTATTAACACTGAAGTGGAGCCAAATTATATCAATGTCACGAAGGAGCAAACAGGAGTGGATCTGATTAGTTCCTCACACTTAATGAACATTTAACAGGACAAAGTCATATACTATACTAGTGGTTCTCAAACTGTGGTATGAGCGCTCTCTAGTGGTACGCGGGGAAAATTTATATTTTCACATTTACATTTTCAATTGCATAAATCTGAAACATACCACGCACAATTAATACAACATTTAAACATAAACATTTCTAAACATCTCTCTTGCGATGTGAAGCTAACAGTGAAGGTTACGCTGCTGTATTCTAATGTTGGTCGTCATGGTGGTACTCAGAGAGATCAGTGTTTTCTCACGTAGGTGTGAATGTGAGTGTGAATTAACAGGTCACATCTTACCAGTAATGTTCCCAAAATAACCCTGAGAATATTTATAGAATTTAGCCAACAGAGGGCAGAGAAGTCACCTGAGCACTGAACACTGTAAACATAAACAGTACCGCGGCCGTGACAGGTGAAGGTGACTGTACTGTTACTGTCCTGCTACAGTTAACCTCCACTGTCTGTTCCTTGGAGCATTTTTTTTTATGTGTAGAGGTAGATTTATGTCTAGTCTGGGCCACACAGTGGCAGAGGTGGTGTTGGATTTTGCCTTATATAACTGTACTGGTACTGTACTGTACTGTTTGATTCCTCGATTTTCTCCCACACTCCTGAAACATGGAGGACGACGTCAACTGGACTTTCTACACTCACCGTAGGTGTGAATGTGAGTGTGAATTAACAGGTCACATCTTCATACGTGGCCCCTGTGATGAACTGTGAGGATGAAGAGGAACTAACAAAAATGTTTCCAGCAATATATGTTACTATTTCAAGTAAAAAATATTTTTTCCCCAAAACAAGCTCTAAAGTTTCAAGCTCAAGCTCTTAAGTTTTAGGGGTAGGGGTAAAAAAAAATTGTAACCATTTGTCCTGAACTGTACAACACGTAAACGACTGTAATCGTTGCGTCTCCCAAATTTCTGATGGTACCTGAACACACCTTATACAGTGGTAATATATTGAAAACATGTTCCTTAATAATTTTCTTATGCAAAACAAATGGAATAAATAGTGAATAAAAGTAAGAAAATACCTTCTAAAAATGATTGTTTCTTTACATATTTTATAGCACCGTCTGTCGAGTTTCAAAGAAGGGAGGGGCTGCTAGAAGCTAATGCTGTTTGGGGGGGGGGGGGCTTTCACCTGGAAAAGTTTGGAAAGCCCTGGACTGGGGCATTGGAAGAGAATCTTGAGCACCCCCTGCAGGGCTTAGAGAGATGAAGAGACGTGCTCTGTGTTTTCCTAATGAGAAGTTCAGCCCATCAGACTCCACGGTTTGAGCCACAGAATCGGCATCAACATTCCCCACATGTCCGGAGGAAAAGTCTCCATGATGCTCGGTCATGCACATCTTAACTTTTCTAACTACTTCAGTCATTTACTTGCAACGGATGCATCCCGGAGAAAATTGGACAAGCAGATTTGGATTTAAAAACACTGATACAAGCCCACAGAGACGTCGCTCCGAGCCGGATTCTTGTGAGGGCAATTTATGGAGTGATTAACTACTCGAACCAGCAGAGACATCCCTGACTGACGTTAACCACCAATCGCACATTGGAATTCTGCAGGAGGGAAAGCAGAGCAGAGGATGGACGGTGTCCTGATGTAACCACAGTTCATTCACCACAGACGGCGTCACGTGTCACTGACGTCCTCCTTATGGACCGGGTGACGTCTAACGGGTCGGATCACGATGACAAACATTGGCCGCCGACCACAAACGCCTCCGTGTTTGCTCGCGGGTGTGGAGGTGTGCAGCACCATGGCTCACGCTGGTGTAAACACAGCTTTAACGCTAAATAGATGGCTGAGCATTTTCAGTCACAGGGAAAAGCGACGTCTGTTAATCCCTGAAATAAAGGCTCTGACTGTTACGTTCTTCACTCCATGGTCTGTCCTTCAGTCTGAGAACACACAGGAGTTGGACTCCAGAAATTCCCAAAAACTGGAGAAAAGACCTGAAACTAAAGATGTCGACGCCGTGCCGACTGACCACGAAACATTTCAGCCAGTGCTGTGTGCCGTCCTCTTGTCTGTGAGTAAATGACAGAGATATTAAAGCCTAATTATTTTTTCCTCCTTCTTTTATTCACCACTGATTAAACGCACAGTGTCAACAAAGCCTGTAGAACTGTCTGTTCTCTCAGAGCCAACTGTGCTCACGGCCACACTTGAAAGCTATAATTTGTAAATCAACTTTATGCAAAATGCACACATTTAGTCCTCCATCCTGCTGCTAATACTGCTGATGTTACTACTGCTGATGTTACTACTACTGCTGATGTTACTACTACTGCTGAAGTTACTACTACTGCTGCTAATGCTGCTGCTGCTGGATAAGATGCACCACAGCAGGACTGGTTTGTCTGACTCACAGTAAACAGAATGATTCAAACTCAGCAGCCGCTCGTTCGTCCAACCTTCTGTTGTACTTCAGAGAATTGTTGCCACCGTGAGAAATCAGGTCAGAAAATGAAACAAAATCTTGATCATGTGACATAGTAGTAGATTTACACTCCATCTGTGGTACAAATGTAGTATTACAGGCTGTTACACTGACATGTGGCCGTCACTGGACTTACATGACATGATTATTACTGACTTTTCATGATTGTACGTAACTGTACAGCAATAGGAACAAAACCTGTTCAAAAATGGATCTGAACTGAGGTTTATTGATAAGATCAAACTATGAATTTTACATTTAGTAGTAGTATTTAGGAAAAATTTATATATTTTTTATGTTTATATATATACATATATGTCTGTGTGTGTGTGAAATGTAATGGAGATACATTAAGCAAATTTAAAAATAAGAAATAAATGTAATGGAGACATATTAAGCAAATTTAAAAATAAGAAATAAAACTGCCACAGGAGGCGCTATTAAGTATGTGGTTGTAACTCACAGGATGCTACGTGAGCGACACTGATTTTCAGCATAAATTCAGCAAAAACTCTATACTTTTAAATACTTTGTACACTATAATTGTTTTTTAATAAAATCTATAAACAAAAACTTTACCGTGTTTTAGGTAAAAATGTTTGATCATTTCTAAGAGCAGCAAAAGAACTGCAAATATGGACTGAGGCTAGTTAACTATAAAATGCTGCTTTAGTTACTTTCAGTTACTTGGCTTTTCTTAAATGTA